CCATGTAGCACCATGTGGCCAGCGTGGCAGGAGCACCAAGCCAGCAACGTCCTTCCTGCAATGCAGCCCCCAAGGCCTCTTCTCCCTCCCTTAGGGCAAAGCCTAAGTGAGGGAAGGAACCGTTTCCCTTTGGAAATTTCTCCACACTGGCTCAGGAGCAGCCTCAGGGATGTAGAACAGCCCTGGGGACATGGAGCAGGACACAGGGATGCACAGCAGGACACGGGGACATGGAGCTCAGTGCTGGCCCTGGGGACCCCATGGCTGATACCTGTGCCCAGGACCTCACAGCCACGGCAGATCTCCACCCCCGCCGACAACCGCTGAACGAATCCCTCAGCTGCAGGATATGGTGCAAATCAAGCACAGTTCACTGGCTGCATTTCATTTCCCCTCTGCTCCTCCACCGATAACCGGCAGCGCGGGGCAGGAGGGCGGCCGCGCTCCAAGGGCACGCGGGCGCCTTGCAGCACCCAAGCCCTGTCGGGAGCAGCAGGAGCCCCAGTGCTTCACCCAGCCAAACGGGCCGCGGGCGCTGCCGCTGCTCCAGAGCGGTGCCCACCGTGTCCCCACCTGGCCCTGGTTGGCACTGCCCCCCGTGCAACCCATCACTGCAGGCAAAAGCCTCATCCTGCCCTTTCCTCCCAAACTCAAACCTAGCTGCCACTTTCTCAAGGAAGGGAATAGTTATAGGAACTTAATTAAATTGCCAATGCAAAAAAAAATCACCTTCATAACGTAAAGTGGCACCAAGCAGCCCAGCACCCGGCCGCTGCCGCCCCAGCGAGCTGCTGGCACCTGCAGCCCTTGGGGGCTCAATCTAGATGCAAACGCAGAAGCACCTTCCCCTTCCAACGCAGCAGCGGGTCCAGGTGACGGCACCTCTCCATTTGCCTCACAGCGGGTGGGTTTTGCATGCACCTCCAAATTGGGTTTGTAAAACCCATTTGCTTAATTTCTATTTCACCTTATTTGGTGAAATACCTCGTGGGACACTAGCGCGGAGCATCGTGCGCCCGACCCCGCCGCCGTCTTCACATCAGTTTGGGCTCTGCCGTTGCAACACAACCTTTGCGCACTCACACCCACCTGAAGTGTAATCTAATTAGCGCAATTTGGGTTGCCTCTATTTGAATAATTTAGCATACACCTGCAGCATTCATCAATCATTATTATCTCTAATTAAGTAATTAACTTGCAGGTTTCCCAAAACTTTGAAGTAAGGGGATTTCTGCTGTGGAAGTCTCAAGGGAGACAAGGTTAGTGCCTGCGTCTCCTCTCGCCAACACCAGCGTTGCTGTAATTGGTGTTTGCACCACAAGTGTTGATGATTTCCTGCGGAATTTACTGCTTTAATGACAAAACAGCCACCACCTGCCTTGCACAGGCTCTCAGTAGCACCAACATGGCTTTTCCCTAACAGATTCCCTATCACCCCTGCTCACATCCAAAGCCTGGCTGCTTTTGATGGTAATTGTAGTTACATTTAGCCAAAGCCATCGACTTTTAAAGAAAAGAGCAGTTCCAGAAGAGAGAACCGCTGGCGCTGAGGGATGCAGAGACATCAGAGGATTTCTTCCCACCCTGGCGAGACCCTTTACAGCGGCAGGGGGAGGTGGCACTCCTGCCTAGGGGGATAAACAGCTCCTATTTCTTTTGTCAAGTTCACTGAAACCTTTAAAGCCTGCAAATGAAAAAAAGTTCATAAATGGTAGACTGTAATATGCTACACTGTGCTGGACTGCATGGTGATAACGTGACTGTAATCATGAAGGATATCTTTTATCACAGGAACCATAAAAAAGGTTATATACACTGTGACTCTTGCCTTAGAAAAACTCCCATATGCAGAATATTTTAACACTTGCACTTCAGTTTTCAGTAAAATGAGTTATTTTTATGCTTACAATTTCCGCAGCTTTGTTAAGGGAACCTGACTTTAAGGTGAAGTTTGCATGTGCTGACTTTACGGGTCAGCGTCTCCTCTCTGCCGTAACAAGGCAAAGTGGGGAGCACCGTGGCAAACCTCTTATTCCTTAAAATAATATGAGCTTCCTTAGAATTATCATCTGTTACTTGGCAGGTAACTGGAAGAATTACTGCTTGGAGGGTGGGCTCGGTCCTGTGGGGCTGTGGGCAGTGTGTGTGTCCCACCTCCGTCCTAGAAACCCTTCTGCAAGGAGGGGAGGCTCTCCCCGAAGCTCTGACAGGACAAGGCAAAGCGCAGGGTGGCTGTGGGCGCTCAAAGCAACCCCGTCTGGAGAGCCTGACTGGGAGGAGGCAGCTGGAAAACACCCCAGGGCTTCCCCATGTACCCGCTCGCAGCACAACCCGGAGCCCGGACCGTGCCCAGCACCCCGGGCATCCGACCGGCCCCGCCGCGCGCGGGTCCGGCGGGGCGGCCGCGAGGGCAGCTCGTCCCAGCCTGGTTTCCCTGACCCATCCGGAGCCCGTGTGGTCCCGAGCTCCGCTCCTGCCTTCCCTGTGCCGCACGCGGCGCGCAGCATCTCCAGCAGCTCCTGCAGCAGGGCAAGGCTCAGTGCGCCTGCATACCTGATGCGATAAGGGAGCAGGGCTTGCTTTTAGGCTCCGGAGGATTTAATCTAACTTGGAAATCCATCTCTCTGCTCTTTCTATAATTCAGCTCTTGTGGGGCACAAGGGGAGCAGGCAGCTGGGTCCAGCCTCTCATGCACCGAGCGCCAGCACAACAGCGAGGAGCAGGCGCAGGCGGAGATCCAGCTACAGCTCCGAGGAAGACACCTCGAACATGAGACAGAGGGAAGCGAGACCAAGTGCTACCAGCTCCAACAGAAAACATACAGCCCTCGGTGTGACGGCACCAGGCCTGGAAAGCGTTCAAAACTCATTCTTCTCAGAAAATCCATGAGGCACAGCCATCTGCCCGGCATCCTGCTCCCCAGGCTCCCGTCCCTTTCCTGTGTTTACCCTGCTTTGTGTGAATGTCACGGGGATGAGGAGGCTGCTGCCTCCAGCCGCCCGGAGCGGCTCGGAAATGAGGGAGGGAGAAGCGAAGGCGGCTGCCTGGGTGCAGCGTCCATCTCCCATAGTGGTAAAGGGTTTTCAAGGGCTTCTCCACTGCTACACATGGGCCGGGGCCATCGCACAGACCCGGTATCACTCCTTACACACAGCTCCCAAGTCTTAGGACTTCAGAATATCCGAACATCAACCCAAATCTGTACAGCGAATACTGCATGCCGCATTCAAGGCTGCCCATCAATCTGCACCTTCCACTGCAAGCCCAGGGCCTCACAACTGTTTATTCAAATAAATAAATAAATAAATGCGAGGTGCAGACCTAGACTTAAGTAATGTTAAGTGAATAATTCATGCAGTATTTATAATTGATGTGAGATTTAACGGGAGCTGAGCTGTAAGTGGCTTTCTATTAACTATTTATGCTCTCAGCCAGCCACTCGACAAGGCCAGCCGGGCTCGGAGATCACAGCTCTCCCGCGATGTTTTATTTAAGTGTATTAAGAGTCCACGGAGCCTGGGGAATGGCTGGGAGCCACTGCCACCCCGCAGGGCCCCAAGTGCCGCAGGAAACACCGGGAATGCCGCGGAGCGGAGCTTGCTTTGGGGACTCATCCACGGCCCTTTCCTTAACTTCCCCCTGCCTCTGGCTACAGCACATGCCGGATAAGCCAGATATCTGGGAGTGTGGCTTATGCAACAGCCCTTCAGTACTTTTCTTGGAGCTTCTCTTTTTATGGGTTTGTTCCAGGGAGGCATCTCTAAAATCCCTTTCAGATTTCTTGGAAAACATCAATTGTGAGAACAGAAGCATGATAAGAAGACCAAGTACCTCACTAACTCCGTGATTTACATTTCTATATGAAACATTCAAAAAGCTTCTAAAAATATATGTGCAAACACAAAAAAGGCGGTTAAAAGAATCCATCCACATCCTAGTAGACAGCACATCTGTGTTTCAAAACATTGCACTTCGAACAAAGCTGCAGTAAATATACAGCTTGCACAACAGCCACAGCGGCGCTGCTCCGGCGGGGCCGGCGGGGAGGCCGCG